GTAAAAGGCTTCAAACAATAAATGGCTTTAAAGTTTGTTTTCAAACATCGTTCGGACCGCTGAAACTTCGAGCAGTTTTTGAGCGGAGTTTTGACCAGGGCAGGTTCTTATTTCTCGCAAATTCAAAGAAAGTGCTGAATATTTGAGCTTGGTGCTTCTGTGATCTGATTTTTGAAAAAAAAAACGAACGGTTAATAATCAAACAGAATCCATTTTAAATACATAACAAATAATTTTTTGTAAAACTGTAATAAAAAGGATTTTTTTTTAAGTTTGAGTTTTTTTTTGGTAAAAATCATCCCTCACAACAAGCCATATAAAGTAAAAAGTCATAAATTTCGCCCCTAGTAACAACAAATCAATTTGGTAAACAAGACTTCTTCAATCATATTGGAACGATTCTTGAGACGGATTAAATAGCGCGTTAATAGCGCGAAAAATATCGCGCATTAATTGTCCCAAATTGGCCAAAACGGCAGTCATTAAGCCCCAAAAATTTACGGAAAATGATGGCTGGTGAAATAATTTTTTTAAAGTTTATACTCTGAACAAAAAATTTTTTCGAGTGATTCCGTCTAAAAAAAATGCGTCAAATGGCAAGTTAAAAGTTCGAAATTTGTCTGAAGAAACAAAAACTACCCCGAGCAAAAACATTCCGTACCTTTTGTTACAAAAGTCGGAAAAACAAGACTGCTCGTATCAGGACGAAGCCCTGAATGTTCAGACTGCCTTTCAAGGTTTATGGAGCAGCATTAACAAGAAAATTAAATGTAATTAAAAAAAATAAATTAATGTTTTAAATTTTGAGATTTTGTGTGAAAATCATCCCTCGACATGCCATAAAAAGTACAAAGTGATTAATTTTGCTTCTCCTAAAAAAATTATGGCAATAAGCTTCCTTCAACCAATTTGGAACGACTTCTTTGACGGATTAAATCTCCGCTTGCAAGTTATTAGCGCAAAATACAGTTTGTAACAGATTTCCAACCATTAAACCCCCATAGCGTTACAAAAAAAATCACAGATAAAACAACTTTCTAAACATGAGCTCACGACAACAATTTGTTGAATGATATTTAAAAAAATCCGTCACAAATGGCAAAATAAAAAGTCGAACTGTGTCTGAAGAAAAAAAACACCCGAGCCCAAATATTCCGTTAATTTCGGTAGGAAAGTCAATCGGAAAAATAACTTTTTAGTTATTGCAACGTGTTTTAAGCAAAAAGCAACTGCCAGTTTAAGAATGAACAACTCTTTTCCAATTTTTAGAGTAGATTCAGTGCAAAAAAAATCAATGTTAACTAAAATTGTCCAAAAATGAAATTTTTCTATTTGAAAAAGCAAGATTTTAATATTATTTAAAACAAGTAACCTATAGTCTACTTTTAAAGTGTGAAAATTGTTTTTTCGAGCTTATAAAAACAACCCTTGAAAAACTCAGGAAATTGAGGATTATTGACAAAGCTTTCTTGCAGGCAGAGAACATTCATAACTGTATGTGCGTCAAGCTAAGTGCAATTTTGCCTTGTCGATTGTTTCTCTAATAATACCGAAATTTAACGACCTTTATCCAAAAAGCGCTTAAAATAAAACCTAAATTAGTAACGCATAACTTTGGTAATGAATTTAGTGTAAGAGCTTAATTGCCCATCAATTGACACAAAAAAAACAGAACTGATTTAAAGCGCTCCAGATAAATTGCGATTGAGACAAAAGAAGACAAAACAAGCTGAATGTTTCGACTACTTTTTAAGGTCTATGGAGCGGTAATAACACGAGATGATTAAATGTAACAAAACAAAAATGAATTGTTTCAATTTGAGGTTTTTTGAGAAAATCATCCCCCCACACGCCATAGAAAGTACAATGTGATAGATTTTACTCCTAGTTACATATCAATTCTGGCATCTAAGCTTCCTTCAACCAATTTTGAACAATTTCTAAGGCGGATTAAAGCTCCGCTTACGCGTTACTAGCGCGATATATATTGCGCGTTAATTGTCCCAAATTGGCCAAAATGGCAATCTTTAAACCCACATAACTTTGCGAACATTGATCACAGAATAAATATATATATATATTCAGTTTAAGCTCAGGACAACAATACTTTTGTATAAGATTAAAAGTTCTTTCAAAAATGGTGGGTTACAACGTCCAATTTTGTCTGAAGAAAGGAAAGCCACCCCGCGCACAAATATTCCGTTAATTTCGTCACGAACGTCGGAACAATGCTTAAAATTGGCTATGGTCATCTAAATTTTAGCCTACTGATGCGTCAATTCAAAACGGAAGGAGGCCAGCTAATTGGTTTGAATAAAATTCAGTTAGCCAGAAATGTTCCACTTTGTAGTTAAAACTAAGTATGCGCAGCAGCCTTTTGAAAAAAAAATTGATTGATCGTTCCAAGTCAAATTTCTTGCTTCTTAAAATATATAAACCTCTTTCTCAGAGCAAAAAGTGCCCAAAAGTGTTGTCTTTGATAACGACAACCCTGTTAATAAGTCTGCAAATAAATCGATTACCAATTGATACTAGTTGATTACATTGCCATTTTAAGCAATTCGACGGTCTAAAATTGTTATAAATGATTGATCTATTACCTCCCAATCGAGTATAACATAGCCAACAGACAGATGGAACAGAATCAATGAATGCAAAAAATGACCTGTTGTTTGAAAAAAAAACTATCGAGTTTTAAACAAAATTTATACGATTTTAAAACTTTTTGAATTTCAAGTGCAATTTATGGTTGGCAGTTGTCGATAAAAATTAACCCAATGTGAAAAGCTTGATTACTAAGAAAAAAATTGATTTCGATGAGAAATGTAAAAAATAATTCCTTTTTCGAAACTAGAAATCGATCTCGTTTTTAGCGTCATTTTAGCTTTCATCATCGAAGAGTGCATTTTGACTACCTCTAACAAATAAAGTTGAATTGAACTGACAAAGTGCACATATACCTAAGAGCATTCATATGCGCATTTCTAAATACGATTGCACTTCTTAGAGCGTTCTAAGACTCGTTCTGAAAAAAAAATCAACACTACCTATAGCAAAGTCAGAAGAACGTCCAGAGACTCCTAAAAAGTTGTTTCTGATTTTCTGATTCGAAGTATTATTATAAACTAATATGACCTCTACCCTCTATAAAATTTTGGATCCACCTCTGATTATAATCCTTTATTAATCACTGAACATCTGTGATGGAAATAAAAATCAACTGTGCAACACAGGTCAAGGTTGCATTGCTCTCAAACTGTTTTGGCAATATGAACTATGGGTTAAATAAATCCCTGGCTATTTATTATGACCTCAACTATAGTATGCAAATTGGATGAGGAAAAGAATAAAAACTGCGATTCCCACCTTTTTCCTATCCTCTTCAATGCATTGTAAGAACTTCCAATTAGAAAACAGTAAACTATACAAGTTCAACTGTATAAAAAAAAACTACGAAAATATAGTTTTTAGCCTTCAAGCGTGAAGGTTTCTGAGGCCGTCAGCACCCAACCTGTCAGCACCCAACGACTCCGGATGATTCCACTACAGACTGGTAATTTTAAATCAGCTTATTTACGAAGTGATGTTCTCCCTTTTACAGGAAAAAAATGGAAATTTTTCAATCGCCCGCCCCCACTCGTACCAAGTTGCAAGTTGCCCCCCCCCCTCCCCATGAAGAACTAATTAAACGGTTAGGCTGTTTGAGTTTTGTACCAAGTAACGAATCTCTCCCTCCCCCTCAAACCGCTCATAAAACCTTCCAAATTTGATTGGGGAAGAATAATTGGTGTTTTTATTATGCCACTAGATACTAAAAACCTCATTTTGTCTTTGCTATAGTGTGTGGAGGAAAAATTTTTTAAGAATTCGAAAAAAATAATTATTTTTTTGAAAACGTTATCATATTTCAAATGGATTTTTTCATTTCAAAAAACAATGAAGGGCAATCGGAACATTCAGGACCTCGCCTTGGTACAAGCACTCTTGTTTATTTTCTCCAGAGAATTTTTGTATTTTTAATTAGAGTTTTTGACGGAATTTTCAAATATTATTTGAAAGATTTTTTTGTCCTAAGCTCAATTTTAAAAAGATAAATCACCTAATAAACCTCCCCTTGTATAGCATATAATTTAATTTCTAGGAGCAAAAATCATAGTAATCAATGAATAACTGCGGTAAAAATAGAGATATCAAATCTTTCCGGCTCAAAACATATTGCTCTTTGTATCTCTGTATCCGGTTGTTAAATGATGTAACTAATGGACTGAGAATACCTAATCTAGCAAATAATGAATCCAGAAACAATTTTGACGCAAATGAAAAATTGATGCCTTCAGCGTAAAAACGGTTCATTTCGCTTTCTTCGTTCTCCTTGTTAAGTTCTTTTTGCACATTATAGTCTCATTTTGCAAGCTTTTTCGGGTCTACTGATTTTTTCTACAATTTTAGGATGAATCATTACTGGAAACACGATAGCGTTTCATACTATCTTGCGATCAAGGCGTGTTAGTGACAAATCAATACTACAATAATGAACAGGAAGAAAGAAGTTAACTTGAAAAAATGGATCGTATCGTAAAAATGTAGTTGCTGGTTTTATTGTTCCGACTTTCGATACGAAAGTAACGGAATATTTGTGCTCGGGTGGGTTTTTTTTCTTCAGACAAATTTCGACTTTTTAACTAGCCATTTTTGACGGAATTTTTTTAAATCATTCAAAAGTCATTGTTGTCCTGAGCTCAAATTTGAAAAGATATTTCACCTGTGATCATTTTTCGTAAAGTTACGGGGGTTTAAAGA